TACCAAATGTGGAAGTGAACATACCAATCTTTGATAGGATCATGTCTTTTGCGCTGACACTGTGAGGCAGGTAGCGGAGGCACGGCGGAGCTCGCAGAGCATGTGGACCGTCAACGGCCTTGATTGCACCACCTTTCAGCTCCCCATGAATAAGACGGCCACAGCAGCTTCAACAGCACGAAGGACGCACGAGGGAAAAGCACTCAGCCACTTGTTCGGCGGCTGTCGGTGATGAAGCAAATGATTGGTGAATCATTGGTCTTGGGCTTAGCGGTATAAACCACCTGTTGTGGGATCCGACCACCTGAAATTCTTTGAGTCCAATTAAAACAAAAAACAACTGAGACCTCATGTAGGTGCTTGATAAAATTGGCCCACGGAACTTGAGCGGAATGGAGCCTATCATATCTTGGTCTCTCGGTAAAGAAGACTGAACATGACTGACTGTTTTTGAACACTCTCGATTCAGCAAAGTCTCAGGTGGACAACCTCTCCAAGACCATAGCCAGAATTGGCATTAAAGCTGGTCGAAAGCTTGTTCTCTTTGACGGCCAGATTCTGGAGGACTCCTCCAAGCGTTTGGAGGACGAAGTGTGCTGCCAAACGGTCTAATATGTTGTTCGACAGCTTTGTGCACTGGAGGCAGCGATTGGCATTGGGGAACAAGAGACCACGCATATGCGACAGTGACGGATGCAATCGCCTCATTAACCTTCCGCAGCAATTTCGACCAGAGCTTGGCAGGTGAGACCTGGCCAAGCAGCCTGCAGACTTTGACCTTCGGCAACTTTTTCAACCAGAGTTTGGAAGGTGTCACCTTTCTGACCTTGACAAGCAGCCTTCAGACTTAGACCTTCAGCTTTTATTTTGACCAGAACTTCGAAGGTGTCAGCTTGCCCAGCAGCCTGCAGACTTTGACCTTCGGCGGAAGCTTCAACCAGAGCTTGGAAGGTGTCACCTTTCCAAACAGGACGTTTGACAGCGATAACGGCGAGAGTTTGGAAGGTGTCACCTTGCCGAACAGCCTGCAGACTCTGACCTTCGGCCACTTGTTCAACCAGAGCTTGACAGGTGTGACCTTTCCAACCAGCCTGCAGACTTTGACCTTTGGTTCTGAGTTTCATCCTGCCAATTTGGAAGGCATCATATTAGCAAGCAGCTTGCGTGAGTGTTGTCTTTTTTGCTCTCATGGTTTGCATTCATCACTTCTCAGATTCTACCTGACAGCCTGTGACAGCCTTGGAGCGCTTTGGAAAGATGTTTTTTGTGGCAGATGGTCGCTTTTGGCTACAACCTCCTAGACATTCTAGCCAGTATATGGATCTGGGGGTTCTAGGTTAGCAGTTGAAGGCATGAAATCTTGCAGCCAGTTGCCCCCAACAGGCTTAGTCGAGTTGACTTTCACCAAGGTGACCCGAGGTGATACCCAAGCAATGTCCACCGCTTGCGGGTAGAAGTACTTTTTTGGGCACCTCCAAACTCAGAATGCCGCTCAACTTGCCAACGGTTGTTTGCAATAGAATTGTTGTTGTTGTTGTTATCAGAATCACTTTTGGGCACTTACCCTGAGAATCTCGAGGGGGAGTTAGTTAGGCTTGCAAATCGGAAGTTGTTTCTGTTTTTGTTCGTGGCAATTGATGGCTACTTCCTTTGCCACCAAACATATGCTGAAACAAGGCCAAATTGGTTCCAAGAACCCTCTATGTTATATTCTAGAAGCAACCCCCCAAATCTAGCTTGATCGAAACAGGGAATCCTTGAGGTGCTGGTTTGTGACTCGAATTTGAGAGTTTCCAATCACCATCCGCATCCGCGCGAGGTGCGCCTGGCTGCCAAGATCTCGGGCGTTCATTGGTGGTACGTGCCCTGGGCGTGCACAGATGCTGCGGGGGAGTGGAGGTGCAGCGAAGATGCCAAACAGACTCGTCCATTGCCGCGGTGGGGCCTGTAGGGGAATCCAAGTGACAGTGTTGCAGGGTTTGACAGGCCAAAATCTATTGCTCACAGGCATGAGGGGTAAATAATTCAATTGCATAAAGGAGTTCGCCATGGCCTGAGCATGTTGGTGAGCTCATGTGGTCGGTGTTTGAATTTTGCACCGAAGCGGTTGCCGAGGACAGCCCCTCACATGCCGCAGAAGTAACCGCAGGACAGGCTCGCTCTACATGGTACCCCTGGTCAACTACAAGAGTGTACGGGTACGGTCGGAAAAACAACTAGAAAAGATAGAAAAGCAAAAAGTGTTGCACTTGTTGCGCGGACACTGTGGCTAGAGATGTTGAAACTCAGGCCTTTTGCAGCACTCGTTGCATCAAACAAGCCCCGGGTACCAAGGGTGCCGTGTCACATAGTGATGGATCAGGGGTTGGATGTGCGTTTGCTTTGCAACACGGAGAAATGGCAGGACGTTGCGAGCATTTGCCTCCTTCATGGAATCGTCATGACTCATGACGCCACTTCCAGGTTTGCACAGAGTCTTTTGACAAGCTCCGCTTGCGAGGCAGCTGAAGCAATGTCTAAAGGAAAGCGGTTCTTTTCGGCGCTTGTCGACAGTGCAGTTTGTGGCTGTCGACTGTGCGAACCATCAAAGGTATACCGTATGCTGTGTCACATGGCAGGGGCTATGTTTTATGAGTTCTGTGTAACTTACACTAGGCGGTGCCATCATATGCCTTTGAGCCACGCAAAACATGTCCAGTTCCATGCAGATACTGGACTTTGACTCTCGGCTCCCGTCCATGTTCCTAATTGCGAGTCCACCAATCGTATTCCATCTCATTCCAATGCTTCAACTAAGAAGCTGGCTCAGAAAACCGCTGGCTAATGCTCCGGTCTGGGGAGGTTTGCGTTGCAGTGACCAGGATATTACAACACGAATGGCCACGACGCCTACAAGGAGATCGCGGAGGCTCCAAGACCGTTTTGGATGTGAAAGCTTGGGTCTCAAAAGGAAGAGAATGGCAACACCCGGTGACAAAATATTCCAAGTGTTGGAGATCAACGGAGATCACACATGATGTAATGAGAGTGATTCATGGAATGTGTTATGCGGTTATGCCGTTTTGCTGTTCAAGGACTTTGTGGTCTCAAAACTGGGTCAAGAAGAACCGTTGAGATCCTCCAGGATGACACGCTGGTGCGGTTTTGTTGCACATACCATCTCATTTGCTTCATAGCTGTGTGTTCTCTTGTGTTACAGCATGGCCCTGCGAAATAGCGATGTAATTACGGAAATTCCCAAGGAAGGGTGGGTCATCTCCGGGTGGGTCAGAATTTCACTGCTTTTCAAGAGCTTGGGCAGTCCTCAGCAGTCCTTACAGCTTTTGATCATCATCTGGTATCACAACGGTCGTTGCTTTTGTTCGTTCGCCTTCTATGCGTTCGTTCGTCCCACTTCGTTCGTCGAGCACAGGTGCTGCAGAAGGCGGGCACCGACGTGTACGACTTCACGTGCTTGGAGATGTGCCTTGGACGGTCGCGACATGCCGAGATGGTGGAGATATTGGAGATAAAGGGATGCCGTGTGGAGAATCCACGATGGAATTAGTGTTGGAATACATTGGGGACGATTGAAAGGTTTGTGGAGCTTTTGGTTTTGGATTCCCTGAAACTGCCTCAAGGATGGTTTGAGAGTTCTTGGTAGCTTTAACTTTTGATCTATTTATGAGCTTTCTAATTGAAACTGTTTAGCACTCTTTACAGCATGCTGGACTCAGTGCTGGATTCTTAGTTGTACGAAAATATATCAAGATATATATCAAGTATATTTCCAACGTCAGGTAGAAATAAGGTGACTTTGAAGCTTGTTTTTTGCAATTTTCCAAATTACTCCGTGCACTTATAGTGCCACTTGCTTCAACCCTTTGCCCCAACGTAAATATGACAATGACGTGTCCTCTTTGCCCCGGCTCCCAGCCGAAAATTCCTGCGGCCCAGGCGCGATGAAGAACAGCCCGGAAACGCCCTCTCGAGCCCCGAGCGGCTCGTGAAGCAAAGCCAGCAGGCCACGGCGGCCACGAGAGAGTCCGGCAGAAAGACAAGACCGAACACCGTTATCGTCATCCGGAATGAAGAGCAAGAACTTGTTTGAACACATATAGATGAAACTAGATGACAAGTAGGAGCAAGAAGCTACTAGGGGCTCCTGGCATCGCTACGAACGGAACAAGGACGCGACAACAATAGGATCTCCAGCGATGTTCGGGGGCTTGGGAGTCACCGCACTCAAGTTCGTGGCGTAGCCTCAAAGAAATTGTTTGCCTTGAACATGGGCATCACACAATGTCGTATCATATCAGGTCAACCTGTTAAGTACCTCACCACTTTGAGTCGTGTTGTTGTTTTTGTCAGACATAATTTGTTTTGCAACGTGGGTCTCTTGAAGAGAATGATCCCAACTTGGCATTCCAATGCAAGTCTTGCCCTACTTCAGGCACCCAAGAGAAACGATTCATCATGGAGAGATATCTAGAACAGATTGCTTTTTCTGAATATGAACATGTGACGAAGTTTGTGTTGCGCTACGGCAAACTAACCTTGCAACCAGATGTCTCTAAAGGGAAGAAGTTCTTTTGTTCTCAAAAGGCTGGTGCAAGAGTTGTTGACAGACATGCCAACTTCATCCAACTTCAGGAAATACCTGTTGGCCATACCACAATGGATGGTTGCATGTGCTCTTTGGGTGGCTCTTCCCACTATGTATGGGGTACGTCTTCGCAGTGGTTCCTGTGCCAGACGACAGCCAGGATTTCAGACTTATTTCATCAGCTGACCAGTGGTTGTATTTTAATTTCAAGTGTTTCGTGTCGAATGTGTCGAACTACGTATTCTGTAGTGCCCTTTGATTGCAGACTGACCCCGTGCCATGAACTGCTTTGTGTAAAACTTGGAAAACCTTTTATGTTTTTGAGGTTGGAGGCCATCACTCTTAGGTTGGAGGCCATCGCTTCTAGGTTGGAGGCCATCGCTGCTAGAAGTGATGCCGGGTCGCTTGCCTTTGCAGCCCTTTGGGCTCAAACGTACAGCTCTGAGTCCAGATTCACCTGACCAACTCGCCCAACGGGGCTCCACGTTGCTTGGTTTCGCCTGATTTGATGGCCATGGCAGCTGAACCGATGGAAGCTTGACAGAAATGGAGGCCTTGGATCATGTTGGACCCAAAGACAACCTCTTTTTGGGCCCAGTGGATTCTCAGTGGATGTTAATTGCGTTTCCTCTTTGACCAGTATTTGTTTTAAATAAGTTTCTTTTGCCCGCTCCTACTTAACTAAGTAGGCACCTCAATCAAGTAAGGAGGTAATAAGCTACTAGGGTAAGTCAGCTTCCAGTAACTGGACGCAGGATAGCTCATGCTTGTTCAAGGATGCTTCCCCCGCCTGAGGGCAGGGGGAGCTTCCTTGAAGAAGCACTCACACTACGTAATGATTACGTCGGCTGTTGAATGTTGTCTTGGCTTTTTACATTTGACTGGTACTTAGGGCGTGTCTCAAAACAACTTCTTCGTTTGATATATTCTGAGACACGCCCTGAGTACCAGTCCAATGTAGAAAGCCAAGACAACATTCAACAGCCGACGACTGTGAAGAAAGGGAATGTGAACCACTGAGTTGATTAGCCTACAAAGGGCGACAGCCATTCAAAGGTTTTGTTTCCACGTGGGGAGATATTGATATCTCAGGCAGTTGTATCACAGGTGGAGGTAGTGACGAGGTCAAAAGCAAAAGGTTTGCAGAGGGTGTTTTCCCGAGATGTTTGATGGGATTCGACATCGCGTTTCTTTGGGGGTGCTTGGTCGCGGCTTATTGCAGGAAAGATTTGTAATGATTTGTAGAATCTGCTAGTACTAGACCGCACTGCATTACACTGTTATCTATGTCTCTTGGTGCGACCCCACAATGCAATCGATGGATGAGTTGCGACAGCCTGTAGCGAGGTGAAGCGCAACAGCAACAAGCCCCACAAGCCTCGAATGCCGCTGGGCCGAGAGCAGGGTGGTTCAGTGATCCTCTCATTTGAGACAGATCTTGGCACTCCCAACATGTGAACATGTGGCTGACTACATTCAATTCAACAGAAGAAGTCTCCTTTTGACACATCGCTTTGTCTCAGTGTTATCTTCCAGCTGGCTTGAAAGACCACGATCTTCTCGGGAACTTGCCTCCACTTGGCTGGAAAGGGGAGCCACCTTCACGGGTCAACTTCCAAGGAACCACGCTCACCTGTTCTAAAGTGTTTGTTTGGTACCTGGCGTTGTACAGTTATATATAAAGTCATCCCTCATTTGTCCTTTTCTTGTCACATTCCGGTGTCCAGTCTAATTATGCCGTGTCTTTTCATTTCTTGTTCTCTCTTGTCTTCTCTTTCCTTTTCGCTGTTCCTTTTTCAGGAAGGTTATATACAAGGAAGGGAAAGTGAAAAAAAAAAATAACAGAAAAGAGTAAAGGGCCATAAACAAAAGGAACCCCTGTAGCCCACAGTCCATCTCCGGGGTGAACATGTTGAGTTGTTTTGGACCCACACCGAGAAGATGCTGATGCGAAAAGGTCACGCCGCAGTACAGACGGCGACCTGGGCGACAACCGCTTCTACCTGAAGATGGACGCCGCAGTGCCCGGGCAGCGCAGAGCATGCGGAGCATGCAGAGAGGAGGGAGTAGGTGAGTAGGACGCCTCCCGACACGGGAGTGGGTCAAAACCATCCCAGAGCGGACTTGGAAAAGTGGGGAGTGGTTGATGACATCCCTGGTTTTTTTTGACCCATATATATATCATATTATGTTATTATATAGCAATATTAATACGAGAGTTATTTCATATTCTTTATAACTTTGATATATTTGATTATTTGTTGTGTTTTTGTTACTAAGTAGTCTAAACATGTCTAAACGAGATAGGGCCAACCCCAACCGGCGTGTAGCGCATTTGAGTGTGGTACTAATCTGATTCCCCCGAAGTACGAAGAAAACGACTGCAGTTGAGGGACCATGAACTTTTTGGAGGGCTACGGCAGCGTGTTGAGTAGCTGGAGTCTTGCTGTTTTTTCAGTGTTCCCGAAACTCCTTTGCAGTCAGTTGGATATTTTTCTGGAAACTAACCGGAATCAAGTTTCGAAATTGGACAGCCGAAAGCTCGCCCCAAAAGCCACACGTAAGGAAGACAGACTTCGCAGCCTTCCGGGTTTGGGGTTCATGTGTTTTTGGTTGATCTTTTTTGTTAATCTCCGTTCGTGGGGATGCCAGGAGCCCCAAACGTAGCGTTCTTGCTCCGTTCATAGCGATGCCGTTCCGTTCGTATTCAGATCGAAGTTTCTTCGAAGTGCCGCAGGTGGGGAAGACCCGCTCCGACGCCGCACAGGGGCCCATCGCACTGGCGATGCGTCGCTCGGAGCGGAAGGACGTGCTGCTTGGCTGGAGCGGAATGGAGGAGAGGGCGGGCAAAAAACAGGGCGGTGGGTAGGGTTGGGTAGGGTGGCAGGCCAAGCAGTAAGGATTCCAAGCACCAGGTGCTTAGGCCGTAGCTCAGGATTTGCCGTAGCCGGTGGGCCACCTCGTTTGGGAGTTGGGAGTCCCATTTGTTGGTTGGAACTGAGGTTGGTTGGCGCATTCTTAAGACAGAGATAGAGGAAGAGTGTCTCCCAAACCTGCTATGCACCACCGGAGGAGGGTATGCATAACGTATACTGTATAGTACTTTCACCAGATTGATGGCTTCGGTTTGGGAATCGGCACAGCAACTACCTGGAGTCCTACCTGAATGGCTGTTAAAAAGTGTGGCAAACAGCGGGCTACTAGTAGCTAGAAGCTACTAGTAACAAGGGTATAGCTACTAGTAACAAGGGCACTACTACTAGTCGCAAGAAGCTACTAGTAAAAGGAACCCAAATAGCGATGCCCTCCAACCTAATAGGTCATGTAAATGTATGCCATTTGTAGCACGTTTCATGGGGGTCGTTGGCCACTTCTTGGTAGGGAGCTTTAAACAACCACCAATAGCAGGAAGGGTAGGATCCACTACGCGCGTTTTCACCTTTTAATTGACCACGGGGGCAGTCAAACGCGGCAAGTCTGACGGAATTAGGGGGTCCTCCCCACTTGGACCGGACATTGCCCCAAACCCGCTGGTGGGCCTGCCCAAAGTCTATACACGCAATGCTAATTGGCGCTCTAATTAGCAGAAACCTATACACCGGCTCATGACTGTTGGATGAGCCGGATCACGGCATGTCTGATCAAGGCTGGAACAAGATGGTACAAGCTCCTTGCAGTTGGCACCCATCGAAGGAGGCAAGTTGGCTTTGTCATGACAGCACCCAACAGCACCCAGCGAAACGACACGCACGATGTTTGGCCCTCAAAGCGGGATCCACCCAAATGGACCAAATCCCCAGCTTCAGAATTAGTGTTTTGCCATCTACACTCAAAAACTGTTGCCGCCCCTCAAAGGGCCATATTCTTACACATCCTCCACGATGATTGGCGTTCATCAATTACTACAGTAATAGGCATGACTCATCAATATTTTGCAGCCAACTCTCACGATTGATACTCTTTGACCAAGGCGAATATGTGTTCATGAGGTCACTGAAACGTTGCAGCATAGTGAGACAAATAGATCCGGACACAACGTTGCAGCTTCCTTACAGATTTTCGCACGAATCATCAAAATAATGAGGTGACCGGCCATGTCGCACACACCGTTGAGCACCCGCGAGGCAGCCGACAGAGCTCCCACTCGCGGGCGCAATCACACTCACGGGTCGGCAGCAAAGGTCGGGCAGGGTTGCTGGGTCGCAGGAGGGAGCTGTCGGGCGGGTGGTCCCTTTCTTGTGGTGGACAGGTGACATGGACGTTTTCTTTAGATTTGGGTCAGAAACTGCGTTAAGAATCCGTTTGCCGACCACGTGGACTCCTGTTCGTGGCACCACAAGGGGGGGTGCATGTCCAGACTTCGCTGCCCACATGGTGGGATTGCTCCCACAGGGCCCAGTCCGGCAGGAAACGGACCAATGCAGTACCACTTATGGGTTTGGCAAGTTTCTCCCAAGCGAAGAGACCTACTGTATACTTTGGGTATGGGGTCTATGTTCTTGTTCTGGTTTTGACCTTTGCATCTTGGGTGTGTGCTTTTTGCTTTTAACACACCACATTCAAACATGCATGCGGCTGCGTCACACGATGGCTTTTGCCTTTTTCTCCTCAGGCTGTGCTAGCGACTGGGTTTTGTTTAGAGTGCCCGGGGATCAAAAATCCTCCTAGTCGACGGTTGGGAGATGAGCTGGCCCTGGCCTCGGGAGATGAGCCTCTCATTTGTCCTTGGCCGGTGGAAAGATGAACGGGTGCCGGCCTCTCAGCCAACGTGTGTTTTGTGGTTCATTTTCTATATTTGTTTGGGATCCGTGTTCTTGGCTGTTGAATTCATGATGGCACGCTTCACAGATCAGTGGGCAATGAGCGATGGGAAATAGTTTAAGCAACCTTAGGGACCAACCTTCGCAAGTTGTTGGTTGACATTAAACCATTCACTTCGTTTGGGTCTTGAAGACTTGCTTCATGATGAAGCAGGACCTTTGGTCGCATGCCATGATTGAATCCGATTCACAGTACTGATTCACTGACGAAATAAATATGTTGACGCTTACCAAGCCATGACATCCGAGTCGCTTGCCACACCTGAATGCTGCTCGCCCATCATATGTCTGTTTATATGCTATCCAAACGGAAGCTTACTCACTCCGGACGATCTAATCCGAACCAATCTCCAACCACTCGGATCATCTTCAATCCCGTCTCACCAGTGACTGCACCAAGCAGTGGAGCCTCGACTGGGCTGAGGAGCAAGTCCAAGGCCACGGCCTTGCCCTTCGAGGAGTTCCGCGCCCGGCGGCGCCATTCAGGCAACGACGAAACGATACGAAACGAATCAAAACGAGCAAGTGTCGGCTCCCAAAGAGGTGTGACATTGGGGGATCCTCTCTTCATCTCTCTTCATGCATTGAGCCACAGCCCAGGCAAGCTCAGACATACTGTTGAGGAAATACTGATTGTGCATAGCACCACGCAGTTTCGATGCCTTAAGAACATACAATGGAAAAGGAGACCTACCGGAGGCCGCGAAGGCAACTGGGCTTGTAAAGATATAGGAATTAATGGAAGGATAGTTTTTAGCGGTTCTGGGCAGGCGTTTAAATGGTTCCAGATTAGGGTGTGTATATGCCTTGAATTGTGTGATTTGTTGCTTTGGAGGATTTGTGAAGACGGATAAGTAACAAGGGGGTACACGTTTAAGTACGAGTTGAAGCCAAGGTTTCTCTATGTTCAGATTGTTTGGATGTAGCCCTTTGCCCCTAGGAAGCAAGAGGCTGAAGGTGGCTTCACTGTTCATGATTTGTGACTCAAGTTAAACCTCAATCAAAAGTGCGAAAGCAGCCCGACAATAACATCAGCAGGCGAACAATGATTTGAAGTTGGGAAGCATGGTGCCTAGCGGCCATGGTGATTGCCATCCACTCCAAAGGTAAAAGGACTATCTCGGGAGTGTTGCCGAAAGACATCCGGCACTACCTGAGATGGAGGATGTTTTGTGTGAGAGCCAGGTCGGGTAGTATATCCTGGTCGTTTGCCCAATGAGTCATGGGTCAATCAGTTCCTTGAGATATCACCCCCCTTCAGGATTCGATACTAGTCACCACTATTAGGCTAGGGGAACAGCAGAAGACACCCAACCTGATAGCAATGGCCTCCAACCTACTGGCACACCCAAACGCAAAAAACATCCGCCTCTTTGGACCCGTTATGACCCGTTTGGCCAGCGCAGCTGACCTTGCTAGGTGCCCTGGGGGAGTACTTGGCCTCTGGCCAGCACATGCCAAGTCTCGCCGCACGGTCGCGATGGTGGGTGGGCAGAGTTGGGAGTTGTGCCAGCACCAATGTGGCGAGACCGCAGTGTCGGTTACAGTGGTTTGGCGACCTGGAAAGGTCAGCTCGGTGGCGGAACCCTTCTTTGGCCTTGCAACTCACAGGTTGTACTGCGAGCATTGCATTGCTGCATGGTGCCACCAGCTTCAGCAACAGCGCCGGCGCCACTTCTAACGTCGCCCAAAACCGAACGAACAGGAACACCGATTTCTCAATTCCTGGCGGTTTCTGGCCAAAGTGGACGGATGCGCGGGGAATGAGAATTTGGAGAATGCTTTGGCCCACCTATGTGCTGCCACTGCTTTGAGTGATGGGAAACCTGCCTTGTTACGTAAAATCTACTCGTGTTACTTGCACTGTTAAGTAATTCATTATCCCGGCAAGAGACCCCAATGGCAGTCTTGAATAGGACAAAAGCAGCAATCATTTCCTCACATGGTCGGCGCTCTGAGGCACGCCAGGATGGACCATTCATGGCACTGTTGCGTCGAACAAGACCAGACCCGAACTCCCCTGAGCACCTGGCCAAGCGAAAAAACTGTGTTAACCAAAAGCAACACCTTGATCAAATGGGACCATCATTGGCTGTTGAAACCTAGAACCACCTGGTGCGACGCCAACAGTGCCACCTTCTCCGCTCTAAGGGCTCGAACGGCTCAAAAAGCCCCACTGCAAGCCCCAGCAGTCCGGGAAAAGCCTTGCAACGCCGGGCAACCATGCCAACGTGCCTGGGCGGAGAATTAAGATGGTGAAGGGATGTGGTCGTTCATGGATTTGGTCGAAATTGGTCGAAATCCCACGACCACCCCAACAGGGAACAGGAAATGACCGAGAACAACATTTCTCAGTTTCCTGCCACACACTCGGATCCTGGATGTTTACAAAACATTGGAAATTGTGCGTGTGTGACTGTATGAGTGGCAGAACAGGTCCTTTTTTTAATCTCAGATCATGCATTTTCTTGGTTTGGGTAAGTGGTGTATTGTGGCAAGTTCGGGTGGGTGGGCTGGCCTAGTTTGTGCCTCAAAATTCGCACCCCCAGTCAGGTTGGACGGTCCAACAGGGTTTCACGCGGTTTGACCATGTTTCTCGCAGGGCACCACCAAGCCTGGGGTAGGTAGATGGCAATGACAATGGAGACTCTGCAAATAGACAGAGAAGTGCTGTGTTTTCTATGACAGCATCGAATTCATGAACATTCCGACTATCCCGATAGGCTATCCTAGGCTATCCTGTCTTGGAGACAGAGGGTCCGTTTCAGAAGGTCAGGTTTTCGTCGCTCCTTGTTGCGTGCGCTCCTGGTCCGGTGCGGCTCTCAAGGTTGGACGTGAGTAGCGAGGCGCTGGTGCTCTCGCGCACTTGGGCGGAACAGGATGGTACTCATGGCCGCGCATGGCTGGAGGTCCTGGTAGTCCATGTACTTTGTGATAATCAACCAGCATCTCGTGGTTGGTGTCTTTTTTGGGGGCCAATCTAAGTCTCGGGTCAACTGTGGTCAACCAACAAGAGTCGATAAGATTTGCAATGCAAGTGCACCAGCAAATACCAATTCATGCTGTTTGTGTGGTTATACCGTTATACCCTATATTCACTCTAGATGGTGGGTGGGTGACTGACTCCTCATCCATCAGTGAAGCGGGTGATAGGAGTAGGCATAGTCGCATATGTTCTCAGTGCATTGTAGTCCGCGAGTCGCAAGTCAGAGGCTGTTGTTCAAGGCAGGAATTGGTGCAGAAGGAATCGTGTTGCCACTGCCACTGTTGCCATGTCTTGTTGCAATGGTAGAGGAGAAAGGACCAGCTCAGAAAGGAAAACGACTGGTGTACCACTCATGGTGTGATTTCTGTGCTTTTTTGGGGGGCCCAAGATCTTTTGTGGGTTCCAGAGGTTCTCTTTTTGTGAGCCTTCAATTCTTCGCCCAGCTTGGCCGTCGGCTTCCAGTCGTCGAGCTGTGGGTTGCTTCTCAAGGACAGCTCCACCTAATAGCATCCTTGTTCCTAGTCGCGTCCTTGTTCCTAGTAGTAAGGCCAGGAGCCCCTAGTAGCGTCCATCGGCTTCCAAGGACAGCTCCACCTGGATTTTCACGAAGTGAAGGGTGCCATGAAGGTGCGGACCACTGGGACGGCGCGATGACCACATCGCGTGGTGACGATAGCGTGAGCATCCGGATCTGTCAGGTGTTGCGAGGTGTGCGTCAGAAACTTCTTGGAGCTTACAATTCACGAATTGACGAAGTCAGAAATTCTTTGGAACCGCTCAACACTATTGTTTTCTGAAGTCTCATCCACTGTTGAACCACCCATGGAGGATCATATAACAGGTAGGTGCAGAGCCCCCAGGGCCCTTTTGGGCGACTATGGAGCAGTTTGTGAGGAAAGGTTCTTTCGTATGTACGACTGTTCAACTATGTAGTAAGTAATGAAACGAGTGGGTATCCCAGATTCTTGAGCTTCTTTATGTTGTGGAGACGCTCATTCGCCCACTGATGCAGATTAGTCCTCCTGTACAACATTTTATAGAGTCCAATCCTTGGAACTTCTTCGTAAATGTCCTGACATTCATTGTACCACTCCCTTGGATGGTCAAATAGCTGTGCCCAACCACCCGGTCAATCGATTGCCCTAAGCCCTAACTGAGTACCTTCTCAAAAGGGTCACTAATATGTTTGTTTCACATGAAAGAACAAGCTGCTATAATGGACATCGCTATAGGTTCTGCTTTGGGAGAGGTCTATGGTGCCCCTCAAAAGCGACGCTCCATTGGATGTGCCGAGGAGATCCGTGATGGTCGGCATCTGTCGAACGGTGGCATGGACGAAGTGGCCTGGAGGCTGCCGTCCGATTCACTTTTGTGCATCCTTCTTTGGGAGTGGGACAAATACTAGGAACAAGGGCATTGCTACTAGGGGCAAGAAGGTACTAATTAGTAGCTCCTGGCCATACTACTAGTAGCAAGAAGCTACTAGTAGGTTTAATACAGATTGGTGTTTCGAACCTTAGGCTGGACGCGTCTTCTTGATGCTTTATGTTCAGTTACAAAAGTTTGAGTTGAATGGAAGACCTGTTGCATTTGAGTTGTCTAAAAAGCTTGTTTGTGTCTTTGAAATAACAATCATCTGACGGCGGACAAGGTCCAATTGACATCAATTGACAGCACATGAAAGCACCCTGAAATTCAACATATATACAAATTTGGAGAACATGTATACATCTTGCGTCAAAGTGCCCAAAACAGCCAGATTGTGTTTGTCGATAGCTGGTTGAACACCGCCCGGACTCGCAGATGGACAACTCAGCCACTTGCCATGGTCAAAGTTCCTGCATTTGTTTGACCAATGCGAGGTTTTGCATGAATCGCATCTTTGGCATGGAAGTCGAGGACAAGTTTGTCAAAGACTCCTACAAACTGTGCCAAGCTGCAAACTCGTTCCTCAAAAGGCTACGGCTATTCCTGGAGAACCCCAAAATGAGTCCCCTGGAAGACACAAAGCGTAATGACTAGAAGCTGCTAGGTGGAGGCCATCGCTATTAGGTGGAGGCCATCGCTATTAGTAACAATAAGGCTTTCTAATATGTTTGTTCCAAGCTGTCATGTTCCATGCGCAAAGATGCAACCCCAAGATCTGGCGCTTGAGCATCGCACATGCCGCTGGTGTTGCTCCTTGAAGACGATCCTTTCGTAGGATTTCAGTGACCCAATACCACCCATGCAGTCTGTGAAAAAGGTTGGAGCCTGTGTTGCTTGGTATGCGTTTTGCAACTTCGCCCCAAAAATTGCAGTGGTTCATGGGGCGAAAGCCAGGCTGGTTGCACCCAAGGCTGGTTGCGGGGGCCTCCAACTGTCCGTTCCTTCGGAGGTTGTTGGGGATCCGTGACGGCGACATGCTAATTTAATTTTAATTCTAATAGCTTCTTGTTACTAGTAGTAAGGCACCTGTTACTACTAG